TGTTTTCCAAGCATGCATGCTAGACTTCTGATTCTTATGTTTCTTGAAATTACCAGAATGCCTCTTTACAGGGGAAAAAGCCAGAAAGAGGGCTGAGCTGGGCCTGGAATCCATTTCAGAATGTCAGACTGCGCTGTAATACTTCTTTGTGTCTATCTGGATCAGCACAATATGTCTATACAGCATCCAGAAGTAGACAGACTCACACAATCTCCATTAAGGTTAGAATGCTAAAAATAGCACTGCACATGTTGCTACCTGGGTAGGGGGATGGGGCATGGGCTAGCTACCCAATTACAAGTCTGTCTGACCACCCGAGGGGCTTGCCCTTGCCACCATTCATACCATAATATCCATTGTGCTACTTTTAGTATGCTGCCTTGAACAGCATCTGTCTATCTGGTATCTAATTGACCACTCATTATCAGTGGGAAATAGGTCAATGGAGGGATGATAGGAGTTACTATAGAGAACTTTCTGGGTGTCTGGCTGATGAGTCTTGCCCACATGCTCAGGGTTTAGCTGATCGCCATATTTGGGGTCGGGAAGGAATTTTCCTCCAGGGTAGATTGGCAGAGGCCCTGGAGGTTTTTCGCCTTCTTCTGTAGCATGAGGTACAGATCACAGCTAGAGGATCTCTGCATCTTGGGGTCTTCAAAGTATTTGAAGGCTTCAATATCTGAGATATAGCTGAGAGGATTATTCTAGGAGGGATGGGTGAGATTTTGTGGCCTGCACTGTGCAGGGGGTCAGACTAGATGATCATAATGGTCCCTTCTGACCTTGGAGTCTATGAGTCTATCCAGGCTCAGAGGCTCACTGTCAGCTCCAGCACCAGACCTCAATTTAGTTAATAATCTAACTAAATAATAATCTAGACCTATACAATACTTAAAAAGTCTGAAAAAGTAATATCAAAAGAAAGGCTACACATAACCTTGTTTTGAGATAAATATGACCACCCCCACCCACTACTTTGTCAGCTCTGAATAAAACTTTACCTGTCAGTTTTACCTGCCTTTTTTTCAGGTATAACCAGCATTCACAGTTTTGAAAGTAGCGGAGTTTTAGTTGCATTACAGGGGTAACATTTGCTATGGAGCAGTGGTCTCCGCTCCACAGACCTTGGTTTGTATTCCTGGATTTTTATAGCTTCTTAACAGCTGACACTGCAGTGTTTTCTCCAGGCCTATGGGGGCTGTTTTGGGGCAGGCTAGGGCTCCTAATCACATTTCCACAGCTTCCCTTCCTAAGCTTGCTGGCAGGAAGTAGCAGATGAAGCTTGGGCCAGAGCACAAACTGGAACGAGCTAGACCCCAATCCCAGCTTGAGACTGTCCTTTGGTGAGGCACAGCCCTCTGCCCCAGCCTCTGCCAGCCCCGTGCCCATCGCTACCCAGGACAGAGTTGGAACCCCACTTCTCTGCCCCTCTTTGGGATTATATCAGTCTGCTTAAATGCCACAAGAGGCCAGAGCCTTAGTGGGAAGATGACGCAAGAATACTGGCACAACTTTGCCCATGCGAATTTTTTTTCCCTCAAAATTTCCCGTTATTTAAAACTTAATTCCAGTGAAAATTACTGCACATTTACTCTACACCATTAACACGGAGTCCTGTGTCACCTTAAAAACTAAGGGTATGTCTACACTAACCCCCTAGTTTGAACTAGGGAGGCTAATGTAGGCATTCGAAGTTGCAAATGAAGCCCGGGATTTATTTGCATGTTCCCTTCTGGTCGCCATTTTGAAATTCTACTAGCCCGAAGTAACTGCCCGCGGCTACACGCGGCAGTGAAACGGCAATTCGAACTAAATCCTTAGTTTGAATTAACTGTTGCACCTTTTTCCAGGGCTTCATTTGCAACTTTAAATGCCTACATTAGCCTCCCTAGTTTGAACTTGGGGGCAAGTGTAGACATACCCTAACTGATTTATTTGGGCATAAGGTTTTGTGCGAAAAACCCCACTTTGTCAGATGCATGGAGTGGAAATTACTAAAGCAGGCATAAATGTACTCCAGCCTAACTCCTCATTGTTCCCCATTACCCTGGTGTCCCATCAATAATAGTCCATCTAGAGAACACTGGCCTTCTGATTCCAGTTCCACTGATCATGATACATCTTTCTATTTGATAAACATTTTAATATGAACATTAAAACAAATAATTGAAATGCAGCCCCTCATTCCTGTCCCACCTGCCAGAGGACGCTAGCAGATAGCGAAGTTGGAGTCTCATGTTTACCACAGACTCAGCTGGTTACATCATCTTTGGGATAGTGCAATCAGGCCAGAAACCACAAACTATTACTGGGTGACCACAGATGTAGTGATGGAATCACTCCACTCCAAAAGCCACAACCAGAAACTGTCTCTCTCTAGTGGAATTTAACACTGTTCAGTTTCTGACATAGCTCTACTGGCAGAAGTGACGAACTGCTCCTGCAAAAGATTCACACTGGAGTGACTGTGGCAATCCTGGCTGAAAGAACTTCAGGACAAGAACATCTGTTATCATTTGTTTAAGCCTGTCAAATACCTGAAGTCGGGGACCTGCCTAGTGGCACTCAGCACCTTGCCTTGTGAGCTGATGTGTAGGTTCTGCTCCTGCAGGTAGACGCAGACAGAACTCAGAAAAATTTATCATTCCTAGGAAGCATTATGCCCCTTTCACATCCATGGGAGCTGTTACCTACCAGCTCTGTACTCTTGGGAAGCCAGGGAGTGACACTCATGGAAAACTATCCCCCTCTCTCAGGCCTCTGCTAGAATCAAAGACAAAGCAATGAAAAGGCAGGGGAAGACAAACCTACACTGCTTCAAACAAGGGTGATACAATTAAGGAAACACTCCAGCCTCATCTGCATGGAAAATAGCACAGAGCGACATCTCCATTAGCATACAGAATGGAGACCAGTTTTTCCAAAGCAGGAACTGCACTGAACTATGGGATACCGAAAGCAGAGAAGCACTGCCTGATGGGAAATCTCTGTTCCAGATGCTGATGAACCCAGGCCTGCTCACATCCAAATTAGTCATCAGACCAATTCTAGTCAGAGATCCTATTGACATCCAAAATACTGAAACTGCCTAGTTGCATTGTGAGCTCGTTCAAGGAACATCACCCATAACCAGGTGTGATTAGTCTCTATTGTCTCACCTTTGTTTACAAAAAAAAAAAAAAATCCAGTGTTCTCTTCGAACTATTGTCCTATCCCTATAAAAACTCCTACCTTTGCCCAAGAAAAACTGTTCTGATACCTGGATTTAAACAGCATCAGTTCCATTGAGACTTCTTCATCTCCTGTCTAATTGTGCTGGGGGCTCTGCTCTGCTTGTCTCCTGCCCTCTGGTCCCCCGGCTACCATCACCATCTGGGAATCCCAATCAGTGCAAGCTTCACGGGATGGTGAGGTCTCTCTCTCTCTCCCTCGCAAGCATAGCCTCCTTACTCTGCCCTATGTAAACTGTTATATGGTTAGCTAGCTCTAACATTTGTAATCAGTTTCCATTTAGATTTAATATTGTAACTGTTTTGTGTGTTTGGCTATATATTCACTACCCAGAAATAAATAACTTTCATTGTTAAGCTGGTTGCTTCTCTCTTCCTTTTTCTTTCACTCACTCTTCCTCAAGGGGTGTTGTTTTGGCTTCCCCATTCGCTCTGCAATAACGCTTCTTGTACTCAAGCTAAAGATCCCTGTAGTGCCCAAAATCCTGTGGGCTTTGCTCATCGTGTGGTTTACTAGAGAATGACTACGGTGTGAAAGTGGGCATAGGGGGTGCTGAACCTGGGGGCTTATAAGGATGGCAGCTTAAAGTGCTGTTTAATCCAGACCACTGAGTCCAAAGGCTCATGAGGATGCAGTGTGGCACTGTTGTTAAACCCAGCCTGCTGAATCCAGAGATATAGGAGGGGTTAGCTTCTGAGTGCTGATTACCCAGTCTTTTCAGATGTGCTCTGTTAGTGGGTGTGAGTGTCTGTGTGTGTTGCTAAGGTGGGAAGAACCCCATCCTGAGGAACATAGTTCCTGCAGGAGAGCCCCAGTGGGAGGGGGAATTGGCAGCAGGGAGAATTCAGCTCCATAAAAGCACAAGTAAGCACAAGCAGCACGCTGACAGAATTGTTAACCTCCCACAGTTCCATAAGAGTAACCCTAATAAGTGAGCATACCCCAGAGTATTGGGCAAATCTGGTAACAGAGCAGCAAGTTGCTGACTTCCTTGAACTTGTTTGGATCTGCTTTGTCTCTCTACTATGAGCTAATGGCCAAACACATCAGGTGTTTGAATTACATTTTTTCTGCATTAAGTTCTATGCTCTTGTCTTTGCATTGCTATAGAAAAACTTGTTGTCTTTCATGGTCCCATTCAGCTTTTGCATCACTGCTCCTTTCACCTGCAGCAAGCACAACATCTACATCTCAGGCACTCCTTCCAAAGCTGAGGAGAGTCTTCTCTGGAACACCTCGGGTACTGAGCTTATGCTCCCTGGAATGCTCTT